ACTGAGAGGGTTCTGGGTCTATAGAGAGGAGAAATTAGGCATATCGGACTTGCCTCATCCAGAAAATGTGGATAAATGGAAAAAATGAAGATTGGTGCTGATTCAATTAATAACTTTATACTCACAATTGGAAAACGATCTATTGTATTAACATGCACGGCACACATTTTGAGGCCTATGTATGATTAACTGCCTTCTGAATTAGGTTCAGCACCCGCTCATCGTGTCATGCGTCCCTTTAGAGCGCAGAGGAGGTATTTCAGAGGTACTTGAAATGTAGTGGAGTGTCGGAGGTTTTGTGCACTGACGATCTCGGAATTTCACCTCGAAAGTGGAATTTGTTGGTAGCGTTTTACTTCCATTGTGTATAAAAATTCTGGATTCCCAAGTCCAAAGTTGACTCTGTGATCCACAGTAGTCGGATTCCCCGCTATAACTATTTTATTCTGAATCTGATATTATAGTCTGTGACAAAAAGGAAGTCGTTATTTATAGCCACTAGGATGGGGGCCAACAATTTCTGAAATTGCAAACTAGTCATTCAAGAGACGTTATGTAGCAAGATGCAATTTCTCGGAATTGTAAGAATGCATGGAGCTCCTCCCTAATGCTAAATCTAAGGATGTTAGTAGCGCTTAAGAAATTAAGTCCCTCAATCCTGTTGATAAGTACTACGAATTGCATCCATTGCCGCAGTCTCTTTCCCACTTAAATGTAGGAGGCGTATATATCACGACTGTGATCATAGACTACAAGAACAGCAATGTGTATTATGCAGTGCGCGTTACTATCCATTCTCGGAATCATTCACATTTCACTGAATTTATACAAACTTGACTCCACTATCATTCGTTATAGTGGGTGCTCCGCGAGTTAATGTTGTTGCGCCCAGAGTGGCAGGCTTAAGGTATATAGCTTTAATGCATTAAATTCCTCAATAATACGGTACCTGTCGACCCTCAAATATCACTGGACATTAATTCAGGTGAGAAATTAGGATGTGGCATCTGTTGATACCGAAATGTACATCGCTTGCTTGATAGTTGATATCTCGGTCGCTAAAGTGCATCATGCCTTTTCAAGTTGGGAGCAACCTGTGATCGATCAATCGATGGGGTGAATATTGAATAAATGTAGGAGGACGAAATACCTTGAATTGTACGAGACTGCTAAATGTGCACTAACATTGTTTGATCAGGAATACCTCTTACATATCTGAACATTACACTTAGTTGAATCAAAGGAAAAACACCAAAAATACCTGTCATATTTATTTTTTCATCTAACATATCAGATGGGATAATAAAGTTCTCTTTCCAAGAGAGATATAAACATGACAATTAATCTTTCATCATTCATAAAATCCATACTACTAATTCATAAATAAGTGATTGTACATAATACAAAACTATCCGAAGGAGAGACGCATCATCCAGAGAAAAATCATTCAGCATTAAAAAGATGGTGAATAATGAAATTGATTTATAGCAAACATTGTTTGCAAGAAAACGGATAGTAGCCAATAGTGACTAGTCACGAACATACGCGCTCATAAGACGACTGTTTGCGAAAACTTGAGCATCAAAGTTTAAATTCCTAAAAATATAAGAAAAATAGGACACCTAAACTTACGACACAAAACTGGAAAGACAGTTCCCTACAAGCAAACAAAATAACATCAATCAAGAGGCGAATTGAACCTCAATTAGGTCAGACTTGCGTAATAGTGCAATGTTTCAGAGGGAAAGCAACGAAAATAGGTGGTGCAGCACAGAATCTCCACCAACATCCTTAACTGCTACCAGGCATTATGGAGTAGAAATGGTGATTTGAACGATGTGGTCTATTTTAGGATGGTAGGACCTCAATAGTTAGATGAGTGTTGCAGAGTGGCATAAAAGGGAGGCATGATGATGAGTTTAATAAATACTCTATAGGAGGAACCATTCACACTTATCATGGTATATCACCAGTGCTCATGGCAACGGTGGAGAGAATCGTTGCGAGAAACTAAAACGAAATGGTGAGGTGCACAAGGAGTGAAACTTGGCAGTGTGAGGTGATGACGGAGATTACTACATACATGAGTAGGAGGGAATGAGCAAGAAAGGGACGAGGAAGTGAAATGAGTAAACTATCGAGGGAGTGTGTTCACCTTAAGAGAGTATCAGAGAAAGATCAAATCATGGAAATGAGAGTTTCGCAGTAATACTGTTAATTCCATAGCCAGCGAACTTTATTCGACTCATTGAAAACTCACTGCGAGGCAAATAGAGGATTATACTAAAGCGCAAAATGGAACGCATTGACAATGAATTATGGATAATTGAAGTGGGCCTAGGACCAAAGAAATTTAAAGTAAATCGATATCGCAGACAAAATTTGTGCACCTTACTAGGACTGCATGAATTTAAGAGAAAGAGAGAATTTAACAAGCCTTATCACCTGTCGAGATAAGGAGATACATCTATAAAAATAAAAATGGGATTAAAGCAATTTTCCGGAAGACAAGGCTTGAAATACAGAAGGGTTTGGTCTTGAAAGATTTCTCCAACAAACATAGATCCAAATCAAATATTAGAGAAACCCACGAGGTAAGAAGAGGCACTCACGTTATTCTCAGACATCCCAATGCACTACAATTATCCCAAACAATCAATCAGTCATTTTCAGTGACAGATGATTTCAGCATTTAATAAGTGGAGATTAAAAATGTAATGTACACAACATAAGATTCCAATTACAATCACCCACATGAATAAGTTACTATAACCGCAATACTCTTAATTGACTAGGATCAAAGATGAATAAGAGCTTAATATGGTAATTGAATGTCGGTTTTGTAATGTTTATCCTGTACATTCCATACATTTATAATCTACTTTTCATGTTGAAATAGCGATGACTTATGATATGTCAATGGTGATGATCACCACTCTATGTCTCTGAGATGCTTGGCGTACTTGGACCCATTGGTGCAGGATCATACAATAAATAAGATAAATCATATATATAGGCTTCCCGATGTATTGCCGATCTCGGGGAAGGACGCATAGTCAAGTACTTTCCACTGCGTAAGGGCAATAATATAGTAAAAAAATAATAATAGCACATCATTGATGTAGTGCCCGACCTAGTATATGAGTACGCAGTTGGCTAAGCAGCGGCACGAGGGGGCCACAGAAGATACTCATATACTCTAGTTGGTCCAAGTCTGGATTGTGCCACATTTGAGACGGTTTCGGGTTAGTGGTCCCCCACTGGACAACTCCATAGATTATACCAATATAGGCGGGTACTGCATCGGTTATTATTAGTCTAGATTGTGTCACTTCATAATTATCAATCTATTGCTCATATCAGCCACCCAAAAAGATGGTCTGAGTATTGATTGATTGGAATATAATAGGTTTTTTCAAATTCTTCGGATGTGACTGTGTTTTTGCCAAGCTGATATCATACGAGGCCGAGTTTGAGGGAAAACAAGTAGTCTCACACGAAGCATAGTTTTTGATAAATATTGTATGCTTTTTTCATGCCATAAATAAATATCTAATAGAATGCAAAGTGACGTAGCTGTTATATGTCATAAAATCTTATATAGATAAGTCACAATCAGGATCTTTAAATGCAAGGAATAAATGATTCCAAAGGCTAATTCATCATATATAATCTTGTGAAATGACTTGATGGCATTACAGAGGCACAGCTATAGGTATTGGAAGTTCAGTCCAAAGGGGGAACACCCGACCTAAGTGGCACATGGCAGCTGAGCTCCCTGTAGCCGGGTCGTGACCCGCTTGCAAGACCTTAGCCAAACCTGACGTGAACTCCATAATACTAGGGTCGGGCACTACACATCAATGATGTGCTATTATTATTTTTTCTATATATTATATCTGTGCAGAGTAGGGAATGGAGTCCTCCGATCGCCATACGACTTGAATCTATCTATCTATCTCTATTGTAAATGCTGGGCAAGTCGCCAGTCATAGAGAAATGGGATCCCCATGCATCATATGCATGCTATTAACACATGAGTGATTATATGGGTGAGATTAAAACCTGCATTCATGCATCATATGCATTATTATTAGGGATGGTTGAATATTTGTGAGATTGACTATGATTGTGATTACATTTATCTCCCTATTATATGCTTGAACCTTGTATGATGCTGAGTGTGAATTGTTGAGTGGATTTGTGACTGTGATGCCTCCTTCCTTGGGGTTTGGCTATAATTGATGTTTATGTTTGGAGAACTCACCCCTGTGTTGTGTTGTTTCGTATTGCTTTCCTTTTATTTATATAGATGAACAGGAACAAGGTGAAGGTGTTCATCCTTCCTGTTGAGGATGACATATGGGTGTTTGATTCTGCGGCCCAGCAGAGCGTCTTTCGCGGATTTGCTCGAGTGATTCATGGAGTCGATAGTGGAGGCTCATGGATTACCCAGTATACTGCCGACACACTCATCGAGATTGTCTTCTCTGTACCTCCTGGTGACACTCAGTTACCTTACTCCGCCTTCTTTGCTTCTCCCACACCCATGTCTGTAGATCCCCGTACACCTACTGCCAGATCTACTCCTGCACCTGCACCATTCTCTTTTATGTCTCGCACTTCTCCACCCGTGCCAATGGAGAGGGATATCCATGTAGTGGAATCCTCCATTAGGTATACCACCATGCCCTCTTACATGCATCCTGCACAGCCATCTACTTTGGTTCCACCTACTGCTACGCGTTCATCCCCTCACCCTGCTGGATGGATAGAGGACGATAGTGGAGATTCTGTGGCTGCAACTCCTAGTTCCGCTTCCCCGACATCATCTGAGGAGTCTGACCCTATTGAGGATTATTCGCCTCTTGATTGATGTTATTTTTAGTTATGTTGTAGTGGAACTGTTCTTAGGGAGTTGGGTCTATTTCTATTTTACTTATGCTGTGTTCGAACCATGCTGACCGTACTGTTGAACTATGAACCTATCGTTTCCGCAAATGATATTTAATATATCTGAGGTATTTTCTGATGATGAGTTGTGATGATTTGATATGATTATGTTATTGATAGTGAGTTATGGATTTATGAAATGAGAAGATATATGCATGTTAAATCTCTTCTTGAAAGAGAACTATTATTACACACTGTATATGTATGAAAGAAAAAAAAAATAATGACCAGATTTTGGTGTTTTCTGAATTATGATGTGATAAAGTAGTTATCAACAATGTAGTGAATTAGGTCGCTACATCAAGGTATTGCTCCTACATTTCCCATGATGATGATCAAGCTAGGTGCTCCAAATTTGAAAGTGGACTTCGACCCGATATCAAGCAAGCGATTGGCTATCAACAGATTGCACATTTTCCTGAATTAGTGGATAAGTGTCAGATTTATGAGGATGACACTAAAGCAAAACAAGCTGCATGGAAGAATACCGGGCCCCAAAGGAGTGGAGGAAGTTCTGACTTCAAGATGAGGGAGATACGAGATGGAAAGAAGCCATACAGCCGTCCTGACCATCAGCCAAGGAGAAATCCTCCTAGCATTAGAAGACCGGATCATGGAGGACTGAGTCAACCTGAGCTACACTGTTATAGCTGTGGAGGACCTCATCTCCAACGAGATTGCCATCGTAATCTTGTGACTTGTTTTAGATGTGGCCAACAGGGTCACTATACCTCCTCTTGCCACCTAGTGAGAAATGATGCGGGAGGAAACGACAAGGGAAGGAATTGGACTGGGAATCGCAATAACAATGGAAGTCAGAATCAAATGGGGAATCGTCGTCAGTCAAACCTCGACACCTCTAGGAATCCTTCTGGGAGGCCTAACGTAAAGGGACGCATGTACACGATGAGCGGTGCTGAAGCCACTATTCAGAGGGTTTGATCCATGGTGCGTGTGTTATAAATGATGTTTCTTTGAGAGTGTTATATGATTCAGGGGCAACACATTCTTTCATTTCCAATGATTGTGTGAGGTAGTTGAAGTTGCCTATTTCTCCTATGACCGAAAACCTTATTGTTTCTACCCATACCGGTCCCTCTATTGCCACCTCCCTTGTTTGTCGTGATTGTAATGTTTGCTTGGAAGGTCGAGAATTCTTTGTCGACTTAATTTGTTTACCCCTCTCTGAGTTGGATATTATTCTAGGTATGGATTGGCTTTCTGCCAACCATGTCATGTTAGACTATCCCAATAAGAAGTTAGTTTTGAATTCGTGTAATGTTGAAAGGACCAAAGGTAGGACTCAAGAAGGCAAAGATGCTCAGTGTACCCATACTCCAAGGGATGTGAGGCTGCAAGTTTTCACAATTTTTACTGTTGAAGACCCTAAAGATGACCCTGTGCTTGATGAGATACCTATTGTTAGGGAATACCCTGAAGTTTTCCTCGAGAACGTACCTGGATTGCCTCCAGAGAGAGAAGTTGAATTCTCTATAAATTTGGTTCCTGGCGCTGGACCAGTCTCTATGGCACCCTATCGAATGTCGTTAGTAGAGCTTGCTGAATTGAAGCAACAATTGGAAGAGTTGTTTGAAAAATAGTTCGTTAGACCGAGTGTGTCTCCGTGGGGAGCCCCTGTCCTACTCGTCAAGAAAAAGGATGGAAGTATGCGACTTTGTGTGGATTACTGCCAGCTTAACAAAGTAACTATCAAGAACAAATACCCCTTGCCTCGGATCGACGACTTAATGGACCAGTAGAAAGGGGCGTCTGTGTTTTCAAAGATAGACTTGAGGTCAGGATATCATCAGATTCGAGTCAAGAAAGACGACATTCTGAAAACAGCTTTTCGAACGCGATATGGTCACTTTGAGTATTTGGTCATGCCTTTTGGCGTGACTAATGCTCCTGTTGTATTCATGGATTACATGAATTAGGTGTTCCACCCTTATTTGGATCGATTGTGGTAGTTTTTATGGATGATATTCTCATCTACTCACGAAGTCTTGAAGAACATGCGCAGCACCTGAGGATTATTTTGGAACTCTTACGAGAAAAGGAACTGTATGCTAAGCTCTCGAATTGCAAATTCTGGCTTGAAGCGGTGAATTTCCTGGGGCATGTTATTTCTAAGGAAGGTGTTGCGGTTGACCCATCCAAGGTAGAAGCTGTTTTACTTTGGGAACCACCCAAGATGGTGACAGAAGTCCGTAGCTTTCTGGGACTTGCTGGATATTATTGACAGTTTATTGAGGGATTCTCGAAGATTGTCACCCCTCTTACCCGTTTGACCCGAAAGGATCAACCTTTTGTGTGGGATCAAAAGTACGAGGCTAGCTTTCAAGAGTTGAAGAGGAGATTGACCTCGGCTCTGATATTAATTCTTCTGGACCCCCAAGAGAAGTTTGAAGTGTACTGTGACGCATCTCACCAAGGACTTGGGTGTGTGTTGATGCAGGAACGAAAGGTAGTGGCCTACGCATCTAGACAATTACATCCTCACGAGAAGAACTACCCGACGCATGATCTTGAACTAGCCGCAGTGGTCTTTTCCCTCAAGATCTGGAGACATTATCTTTACGGATCCAAGTTTGAAGTGTTTAGCGACCATAAAAGTTTGAAATATCTTTTGATCAGAAGGAGCTGAATATGCGCCAACAAAGATGGATGGAATTTCTTAAAGACTACGACTTTGAACCCCATTATCACCCTGGAAAGGCCAATATTGTAGCTGACGCCTTGAGTCGAAAGGCATTACACACCTCATCAATGATGGTAAAGGAATTTGAACTCCTCGAACAATTCCAAAGTCTTAACTTGGATGTTCAATTATGTCCTAACAGCATGAATTGTGGAGTGCTTCGCGTGACCAATCAATTTCGAGATCAGATTAAGGCTGCTCAAGAGCAAGACGGATTTCTTCAAGAGAGATTGGAAGCTGATGATGGTCTTTTTCGAGGTGTTTAAAAGATTTGTCGTAAATCCTCATCAAAATTTAAACAAATTAATGTAGTACTAGGGTAACCCTAGATTGTCTCCCATGAACATTGGTTATTAATCTTCATTAAACATGTTGAAGGCATTAATTAAACAAGCAATTAAAATGGGGGGTTTTGTGGTTTCAAATTAAAATAAAGAGCAATGAGCAAATGAGTTTAATTAATTCAAACAATAGAAAAAAGCAATCCTTAGTTCATCCACATAAATTCTATCCTCATTCCACTCAAGATTTAACATTCATCCTCTCTCCCATGAATTAGGTTAATTTAACAAGCAAAAATTAACCTTATGGTCCCAACGAAATTACGCAATTTGTTAGGCTCTAATCTCTCATCCCAAAATTACGCAACCTTAGAATTAAACCTAGGATTAAGCAACCCTTAGTTTAGAATCTCCTTAAAACGAAATTAGGGTTAATTGAGCAATACCCCCCTCATTCACCATTAATTCAATTCAAGAGACAAGGAAGAAGTAATTCATGAAAGAAAGGAATTATATTATCATTAAATTCAAGGAACTCAAGAACCCATGTGAATTCACTAAGGATTACACAAACTTAGCCCTCCATGGAAATGGGGGTCAAAAACGCAATTGGGAAATGCAGAAAACTCATTAACATTAATGTAAAAGCAAGAGAAATGAGAAACCAAACCCTAGGTTGGACCCTTGGCTGTCACCTAAGGTTGCCCTAAGCTCTGGAAAATATTCTAAATTGAGTAAAGAAGAGAAAAAGGTTCAAAAAGTGTAAGCAGTCCCTACCCTAATTTGGTAAAAATCTATTTATACTAAAGTTGGCGCCGCCCAAAGTAATTACTCTCATTCTTTCATAGTAACCACGCGCAGCATCAGTTGGGTTTTTTCCTCTCTGGAGTGATTACTATGAATATTCATAGTAGTTACGTGCAGCACTGGGACATTTTGAGTCTCTGGAGTGATGACTATGAATATTCATAGTAGTTACGCGTAGGTTTGGTTGATTCTGGGCTGCTGTAGTTGTCACTTTAAGCTTTGAAAGTGATCACTTTGGTCCCTTTGCTGGAAGTGGCTTGCTGTAGTTGTCACTATCAATATTGAAAGTAATTACTTTCACCTCAAATTCCTCAAAATCCAATAATTCTTCAAAATAAGCTTGGGGATTCCTGCCATATTATTCAAATGATCAAAATATGTAAAATAAACTATCTAAATTCATATAAATTAACAAAAAACTAAGAAAGCTATATTATTTAGCCTAATTGGAATATTCATCTTATTTACACTATCTAAGTCTATTCTTTTCTATAAAAAGTAATAAATGATGTATAAAAATGTAGTAAAATGTGGACTCATCAGAAGCTAAAGAGAAAGGGTGAGAACCCAACATATGCAAAGATAACCAAGGGATGATCAAGTACAAGGAGAGAATTTGTATGCCAGACAAAGATGAGCTTAGACGAATGGTTCTTGAAGAGGCTCATAGAAGTCAACTCAGTATCCATCCTGGATCAACAAAGATGTACAGAGACTTAAAGAAAGATTTCTGGTGGCCGGGAATGAAGAAAAACATTGCTAGTTTTGTGGCCTCATGCTTGACTTGTCAAAAGGACAAAATAGAACATCAACGACCTGCTGAACAATTACAATCCTTTGAAGTTCCTGAGTGGAAGTGGGATGACGTTGTGATGGATTTCGTATCAGGATTTCCAAGGATGTCAACGGGACATGATCTAGTATGGGTAATCGTGGATAGATTTTCTAAGTCTGCCCACTTTATTCCCATAAATTCTAGATGATCTAAGAGATTGTGCAGCAGAAATTAATTATACAATGATATATTGATATTGATCTAGTGCCCTTGAGGGCTGAATTATCCAAAAGGACCTTGGACCTAAATGGAATTATTGGGAATATCATGAATTTGACATATATTGAGTGGTTGAATAAGGAGAGTGAGGAACCTACATGTAACTTGTGAGAAAAAGTGTGAAAACCTGGGAGGATAGAACATAGATGAATGGTGGAATGAATTGATTTGAGTTAGTAGTATAACAAGGCATAAGCTTGATTTGTTTTCCCTAAATAAAAAATAAGAAAACCGAGAGGTAATGTCTTTAAAACCAGTGTGAGCTAAATTGTTTGGTTAATGGTTTAGGCAGGGGATAGGTTTAATAATTTGTCCATTTATGGGGAGAAAAACCGTGAGGAGGAGATGGAGAAAACAAGAGTTTGAATTAAGAGAATTATGAATAATCAGGGAATAAAGGTTAATAAGCATAATGAAATGAATAGGATGAATTTGAATGGTGAAATTGTAATGATTGAGAAATGGGATGGTGCTGAATTTAAAAGAGAATGAAGTGAGAAAGAGAAATGAATTATGGAGGCTTGAATGATTTGCCTAAGTTAAGGTCCAAAGACGTAACATGCTGCACTAAAATTATCCATGAGTATGAAATTATAAAACCATGAGATTATGAATTTTGATGAGAAATTATATGTTATGTCCTGAGTTCCTGAATTATATTATCTTGAGATTATTATTATGAACTCAGTGAGATTTATTGTGAGACTCATGGTATCCATTTATCCATGCTAAGGCATGTCACTCATAGAGATTATCTATCCATGTTGCTAAGTCTATGATGACTTTTAGCTTGATGCTATATGCTATAATTTTAAGTCCGATGTGACTTCTATTATATTTGTGCAACAGCCCAAATGGCTGGATGATATCAGTTGAGAAAACAATCACAAGAAAACTAAAAATGCTATCCATGCATCATATATAATCTTGTGAAACGACTTGATGGCATTACAGAGGCACAGCTGTAGGTATTGGAAGTTCAGTCCAAAGTAGATCTTCTGGGGATGGCCAAAGGGGGAACACCCGACCTAAGTGGCACATGGCAGCTGAGCTCTCTGTAGCCGGGTCGTGACCCACTTGCAAGACCTTAGCCAAACCTGACGTGAACTCCATAATACTAGGGTCGTAGAGGTCCATTCCTGAATGTGTCGTATGGCACTACACATCAATGATGCATCATATGCATGCTATTAACACATGAGTGATTATATGGGTGAGATTGAAACCTGCATTCATGCATCATATGCATTATTATTAGGGATGGTTGAATATTTGTGAGATTGACTATGATTGTGAATACATTTATCTCCCTATTATATGCTTGAACCTTGTATGATGCTGAGTGTGAATTGTTGAGTGGATTTGTGACTGTGATGCCGCCTTCCTTGGGGTTTGGCTATGATTGATGTTTGTGTTTGGAGAACTCACCCCTGTGTTGTGTTGTTTCATATCGCTTTCGTTTTATTTATATAGATGAACAGGAACAAGGTGAAGGTGTTCATCCTTCCTTCTGAGGATGACATATAGGTGTTTGATTCCACGGCCCAACAGAGCGTCTTCCATGGATTTGCTCGAGTGATTCATGGAGTCGATAGTGGAGGCTCATGGATTACCCAGTATACTGCCGACACACTCATCGAGATTGTCTTCTCTGTATCTCCTGGTGAAACTCAGTTACCTTACCCTGCTTGGTTTGCTTCTCCTACACCCATGTCTGTAGATCCCCCGTACACCTACTGCCAGATCTACTCCTGCACC